ATGTAGAAAGAAAGAGAAAAAGTAAAGCCAACAAATGAATATTCTTGAAAGAGAAAAAGGAACATTAATTTTTTAGATGAATTGAGGTCGTTTGAAAATCCAGTCACTTCCTAGTGGCTTAGCTAAATCGGCTCAATCGAAAATGGCTGAGCTAACTACAAATCCAGCTTGTGAAGAGTAACTCATAACTGACTCTTTTACTTTTAGTTAGATATTTTTTGCATGTTTTTCATTGTGATATATAGTATTAGTATTGAACTTTCTTACATTTAATTATTAGAAAACAAATTAAATTGTTTACCTATAAATTTTGCAATATTTGGACGCTTCAAATACAATTCATTATTTGCATTGCCTAAGAGATTGTCTACGTCCCTAAATATTATATGAAAACACCACCCTAATTCCAAACACGTTGCAATAAGTTATTAAAAGTAACTCTACCAGAACAAAGTCTCTTCTATACAATAACGAAGTTATTCCTTATTTTATAGCACATTATGGAGGAGGAGGACTATTGTATTTGGTATTGACAAAAGGATCCAGTTTTATATTATATCAAACTAGTTGTAGTTGAAGTGATGGAATCTTCATTTTAAATAGTAATTTTCATTTGAAATTGATGAAACTACAACTCAGTAGCATCCCAAGTATTTCGTATATGGGCTACATATATTGCTACATATGATGTACAAAAAACATCTTTAATAATGGTAATGATAGATTCTTTCGCTTTCCTTAAACTCATCTTCAACTTTATATTTCTCAACAATAAAATTTTGTAAATAAACCACAGTCTTTTCATACTTTTTAACTGTACATTCTCTAAAAGATTTTATTTTTAGTTTCAAATAATATCTCCCAAACAATCACTAACTATGACCAAATTTGATCGTCTATCTTGTCAGTTTCTCCAACAATTCTTTATTCACTTGAAGACTTTTTCTAATTGAGAAAATAAAGGGTTACAATCGCTTACCCTTCTAATTCGAGTAATTCTGATTTCACACACAAACCATTATTGATAAAGAACTTGACAAGTCCTCTTACAGTCTTTCTTTATTTTTCCGTTTTGTTCAATTCAGTGCTTGTAAAATTTATTGCCATTAAAAACGATTTTGGTGTACCAGATTTCACCTGAGGAGAAGAGAGAACCAAAATTAACCTCCCCCTACCCCATCCCACCCCCTTACCTTATCTCTGCAACCTTAACAGCATCACATTCACGAAACCCAATCTTTTAATTTCTTCAAACCCTTGCAATGGATGAGGATTTACGGTTAGTGGAACATAGGAAGTTTGGGTTGTGGATTTCTTAAAATCAATTGTGATTAAAGCCTTATTCGAAGCAGGTAATTCATTGTTTGCTTGTTTATATCATTTTCTCAATTTTTGTCTATCAGGATATCTGTGTTTTATTATTATTATTATTATTTTTTGTGTGGATTAGCATTTGCTTTATTTTAACTAGAAATGAAGAACTGAGGATCTGGGGGTGGCACTCAAATCGTAACTTACCTAGTGCAGACCTGACTCCTGTGTCCATTTGGCTCATTTTTTTAATTAGGTGACTCCACGGAGTTTGGGGTGCTTCATAAGCATTAGAAAGAAAAAATATGTGAGTTACCCAAATGACTTCACGTACCATCTTCTAGCATTTTTGGGGTAAGTGGATGTTGATACCATCGTTACAAGCACTTCGGGAAGTACTTGTATTTTGTTCAATTATAAACAAGAATTGTGTGGCTGACCTGTTTAACAATTTAAGAGGTGTATGAGCAAGCATTTTCAGCAAGCCATCCTTGAGCGAGAATATTCTCCCTCCGGTGGCGCTGAAATTCACACTTTAAATTATTCTTGTTACCTTTAGTGAGTTTGCATATTTGCCTAAAGCTTCTCATATCCCTTAAAATTATTTGTTTTAAAAGCCCGCTAGCAATTTCAAACCAAGAGGGTGCAAATATTGTTTTTAAGGAACGAGTACCCTTTACGGGTTTCAAGCCCTCCATTTCCTGTTTTTCCTCCTCTTTTTTGTTTGCGTTTCAGCCTCCTTTTTTAATTTTCAACAGTGCGCAACTAAATTGGGATGGTTAACGTAATTTGTAATTGCATGCTAATTATTGTGTCATTTATGTTAGTTCAAAGATGGGGAAATTAAATTTTAAGATTCTGTTCTTTTGTTACTTCTCTACAATAAATGAAATAGTTCCCTTTCTTGGGGGGATCTGGCTACCTGCA